CTTTTTCAAATCTTATTGTGAGATGCAAGTATGGTGCAGACTGTAAACTCAGTTTATCTAATTGCTGCTGAACTGACTGATGAAGAGTGCTGTATTTCTTGATTGGTTTATTTTTTTAAAGTGAGGTGCTAACTGTACATCAGTGTTTTAAACCGATTGTGCAGATTACAGAGTTCTGGGTAGCTTGCATCAGTGAAAGCATGTTGGGGGAAAAAATGTCAAGTGTCACTGTGAAAATTATTTGTTCTTTCTAATCATTTAAGGTTCCCTTTTTTTGATTCAGTTTACAAAACCTCTTTGACCAAATGCCAAACCAGTGTAAATTAAACTACTTTACTATTTCCGCCTGTCTTGTGTCTCACACTACCAGGCAGTATTGAAATTTACCTGAGCAGCTTCCACAGAACTTCAATTTGTTTGCTCAGAGATAGATATGAAGCAAGATTGCAAAGCTGAAATATGCAGGTGTTATTTTTTTTTTTTACCAAGTAGAGGGAGGAAAACACTACTACTCCTGTATTTCTTTCTTTCATAAGCCAGTGTAATGGATTAGAGACACTGTACTTTAATGTAAAGGGATAACAAAGGCATCACACTCAACACAGAGGCTTTTAACATCTTTAGGGATAAATCACAGTCAACTGCAATAGGAAGGAGACACCTAACTGAAAATCCTACTGTGCATCTTATTGGATAATGATTCCTATTCACTGCAAGAAGTGATGGCTCCCATCTCTATCGTTAGGTATTTAATCTCTGTGAAAACTTGACCCTCGATACCTATTCATCTAAAGAGTGGGTGCTTGCAGGGAGTACTTCTGAACTTGTGAGCACTGGGTGTGCCCTGTCTACAGTATAGCTCTGTCTGAGTAGTAGCTGTGTATGTGTCATTTTCACCTCTTTCCTTGTTCGAAGATTGATTTCAAGGAAAGGAAATTTGATTCTGTGAGCAAAGAAGGTATTTGTCATGTACCTTGGACCATACCTCAGATCTGAACAGGGTAGGTGGACAGGGAAGATGCATGACTACTGAACAGTGCAGGGAATGTTCCTGGGTCAGGCTGTTATTGATCTTGGATTCTTGGAACAGCCCTGGACACAATCGTGGTTGGATAGGCTGGTGATGGTTTTCAGCAAGCGGAGTGGATGTAGTCAGCCTCTTTTGAAGATCATGAGAGTTTAGCAGTCTGGTTTCAAGCATTGTCTCCAGTACCATAGAAGAGTCTTGAGAGTGTTTCACTTACAAGAGCAGATGCAGCCCGAGGCAGAGGCTCCTGGATATGAGCTAGGCTGTGTTAACCACATCAAGCAAAGTGATTTTGTCCTTACCCTGGCAGATGTCAGTAGGTGAGCAATTAGGTATATTGAAGAGGAGGGGAAATTGTGTCTTCTGTTTTGATTTTTTTTTTAAACCACTGCTCTATTTCTGTGCTAGTCTGTGGACTTTTTATAGCATGGTATGAATGATGTGTGTTTGATCCCACAGCTAGAGAGAGTACTTCCAGTCTGTAGGGCAAAGGAGCTCATTTATGTGTTGCTGTGAAAGGCTGTGGGAGCAAATGCCAATTTTCTCACAGTCACAGCTCACACTTCTCTTTATGCCTCGGAGCTGGAGGTAAGGTCAGTGGGCAGCAGGGTGCTGACAAAAGTAGGAGTTCACTGGAACAAATGAGTATTCACCCAGCTAACACTTATTTCTGTCTTCTTTTTTTGCCGTAAGATTATAGCCCCTAACTCAAAGATGGTCTAGTACAACGCTGTTCCAACAGCTGCTGTAAGCAGAAGATATTCTGGGTATAGTCGGACTCTGTACACTGATGACTGATCACACAAATCTGATAAATTCTTATGACAGGATCTGTGGCTTTGAGGTTCATTGTAGAAGCCAGATTGTGCCTTATTTGCTGTTAAGGCTTAATAGAATTGCCCATTGATTTCTCTGCAGCCATGTCCCCCAAGGGATTTATTCATTCAGGGATTAAAATTGTTCCACGGTTGTCTGATTTGTTTAAAGCTCATGCGTTTCTCTTAATTGGAGATGGTGACCTCAAAAATAGCCGAAACCTTCCATTATCCTTATGTGGAAGAGAAAGGTGTACAAAAAAAGTAATATTCTAATTAATGAAGGCTCCTACATCTCTACTTCTGTACCTTCTTACTTCGGCTCGCTTGAGTCAAAAATTATTTGAAATATCTGTCTGATGAATTTGTTTGGAGTGGAAGAAAGCCAAGAATTATTTTAACAAATGTTTTAGCTTGACACTGAGTATGGAGGCTTAGTCTGCCAAGCTGGAAAAGTGAATAACTAGGCAGTTTTTGTGAGGCTTATATAGGGTGTGGGTCATCTTGAATGTCAGCTCCAATCTGTGTTACATGTTTGTAGAGGAGCGTATATGGTGAATGAATTGACATGTTCTCCTCATAAGTTTCATGTTTCTCTGAAACAGCAGATTAGTTTTGAGAAACTCTGGCACATAGTACAGTCAGCTGAGAAGCTGAAAGGACTTCAGGAAGTGGGCTCCTTCTATGCACTGGACAAAATTGCTGAGGTACCTGCAAATGTGTCTGGAGGAGCCTCGTGTTGGGTGCCGTGGTGGTGCAAAGGGAACGTGTCTGGTAAGCTGGGGTGCAGAATACAGTGAGGAGCATTGGGAAAGGTGGATGGAGTTCAGCACAGGAGAAAGGAGTCTTCTAGAACAGCTCCTGTGAGCGCAGGGTCCCATGGGTTGGTGTGGTGCAGAGCTGTTGTCCTGTCTATGGCCTCTTGGCTGTAGAACAGGCTCACTTGCTTCTTTTGACAAGTGTGTGAGTGTTAATTCTTGCCACAGCTATGAAAGAAATCAACAAAAGCCACCTTAAAGTCGAGCTGCTGCTGATGCTGCTTCCACTTTTGCATGTGCATTTGAGATCACAGTGTAGTGTATATGAATAAAGCCATATGTGGGTAAGACAGAACAAGGATCTGCTGCAAGGTCAGAATTGAGTTGTGTCACTGGATTCACTTGAGATCTGAGGCTGTCAAAACTTCGGTCAAAACCAGGCTTTAGCTAATGTTAATCTGATGATGAAGCCAGATCTAATCCTAGTAATTAAAAAAACCAAACAAACCTTGATTCCATGGATGAAGTAGAATTCAATGAAGAGGAGGGAGGCTTCTCTGAGCATCACTCCCTACTTTGTTCTGCCACCAGCAAAGTGCTCTGTCATTAGCCCTTTTTAGGAATTTTTTTTAATAACTATTCTTGCTTTCCCTCAGACTTTCTGCCTTTACTACTGTTTTTCCTACAGTGTTTCACCTTCCTTGCTTTCTTCTTTTGCACAGAAACATCTCTGCCATAGAAATACTTGTATTTGTGATAGCAATCTTAAGGGACACCTCCTCAGCCCCAGAACATCAGTTGCTTCTTTGGACTTGCCATGAATCTATATAGATGATGGTTCCTTTGCTTTCATTATGTTCTTGGATAAGGAAGCTCTGTTGCATTTTACACTTGCTTTGAACTGCTTCAGTAATGCTTAAACGAGTCACAACAATGGGTTATTAAGTTGAAATTTAACAGTGTAAGATGATAGGAGAAAAAGAAGTATGTTTCTTTCCTAGAAGCAAGTTGAAATCATAGGTTTGTAATAATATACTACTGCATACCTGATATTCCAGGATCCCCAAGTGGGCTTCAATCCTTGAACAGGCAAAGTTCAAAGTTTTATGACACTGAAGGTTAGTCCATTTCAGAGATACCTGAGCTGAGTAAACGGTCTGGCTCCTCTGACATTTGCATTGAGTCTGCACTATACAGAAGGATAATAGTAGCTGGTCTGCTGTTTTGACAAAATTATGCTCTGTAAACTGGTTACCAACGCTTGTGTAACTCAACATTGTTAGCACAAGCATATGAGTGTTTCTATTTGGACTCTGATGGACTGCTTTAAAGAAGTGCTGTCTGCTCTAGAGTAAAGAGGTTGTTTCCATGACCTTTCTCATGGTGAGAGGATTTTTTTAGCAATAGCTAATCCTTTGAATCTGATGTGAAGTGCTTCTGTGAGCAGAGAGAACTGTAAATTGTAATGTGTACACAAAGGATTTTTGATCAATTTTCTTGAAACATTCTCTACAACTCTTGCAATGAGCCTGATGTAGCAGGTTTCTTAGTCAAAGCAAAATACTGACTGTAACTTTTAAATCAGATTCTGTAGTTTTTACTTATATTGCTTCAACAATTGCTCAGCTGCTTTGCAGTCTTATTCTGAATGAAAGTCATAAACTGTAGCTCAATCACAACGTGTGTGCAGGTAGGTACATCTCAACTTCCTGTTGAACTCCTAGATACTTTGGATCTGTGGATGATGGTGTGGGAATCTCCAGCAAGGGCTTCCTTGTTCCACCTCCACAAAACAAAATTGCAAGTCCTGCTGAAAAGTATTTAATTGTTTTTCAACCACATCTGTTCCTATACAGCACTGCATTTGTCAGCTGTATTTCCATAATATAAAGTCCCATTTCCTCCTAGCTTTTTGTATCTGACTAGTTGTTATTTTAATAGCCTCTATTTCTGAAGCATAGGGCAAAATAAAAGTGACCAATCTCATTTTCTTCATAGTATTTATAAGTGATTACACCGTTTTGTTTTCTCTGTGCATTCTTTGCTATGGAATGTGGCTGGAATTTACAATAGCTCTGAGCATCATCCTAACTCTGTTTTTTTGGCTATTAGAATTGGACTGAAGCTGAGTGCTTGTATTAGCTCAGCCCAAGAATCTGCTGTGATGTTATTAAAACTTTTTATTCCACAACAGTCTGTACAGTTTTAGTGACCTGGAGACAATATCTGCTTTAAAAGGTTAGGGTAAGGAAGTGAAAGCCATTTACTAGTGAAGGTAAGAGTGCTACTGTGATAGCAAAGTGCAAATGGTCTAAGTTTCATTATCAAAATAATCTTCAACTTTTAGCTAGTCTTTGTGATGTTTCTTATTACTCAGCCACTTTCTTAGGAACAGGAAATTGCCAATTGAAACCATTTCAGTTTTCAAATGTCTTAATTACATAGGATGTGTAATGCCTGATAAGATGCTGTGTGTTAAACCAGAACGCCCTGGTAATTTTGTGCAGACTGCTTGTAAAGAGCGTTATTTACTTTGCTGAGTCAAAGCACAAGGCTGAGTGTGTCAGAACCAAAGTTCACTGTGCAGCTGTAACCTGCCTCTTGGATGTGGGGTGGACTCCAATTACACCATCACAAGTTATTCATCCTTTTGTCCCCCCTCTCAAAGGACCTAAAAGTTACACCACCTGCCAAAGTTATGAGTGACTGAGTATAATGAAGAAAATTAATGTAAGTATCACTGTTATCACTAATAAAATATCACTGGCTTACAGTGAAAACCTGAAGGGAAGTTAATAAAGAAATAAAGACATTGTATGCTGCATAAATCAATGCTGATTTCATGTAGCTGTAAAAGTGAAGGTGTAAATTGTTTACATGGAACTGTCAATTCTAAGACTTTCAAAACCAACTGAAATAGAAAATTACTTTTTCCTGGGCTTACATGTCATTTGAAAAAATAAAAGGTATTGAAGTCCCATTTTCTTGAAGGCACTGTAGAATTTTACATCTTATTCCAGGTTAGGAAAGTAGTTTGCTCTGCTGTGTAATTATCAAATCATGCAATATTTAGTAACTAGATCACACCCAATTTATTTTAAAACAGACTATTTTAAAGCATACCATGTAGTTAGTATAGCATGGGAACAGAAGATATATTTTAAAAGAAGAAGGAACTTTTCTGTTTGGATGTTCAGATGACTTTCTGGATATGTAAAGGCTTTGTTTTCTTCGCTTTTCTTTCTATTCCCCTTTCTTTTTGACATAAGTATTTCTTGCCTCTAGTAAAACTCAAGGAAAACCTGGACCAGAAATAAGCTGGAGAATTGGACCATGTGCAGAGAGTCACATATCTAAAACTAGAAATCGTGGTAGGGGAAGGAGAATAAGAGATTATTAAAAGAAACTGTATTTGTAGAAATTTTTCATCGTTTTGCTTCAGAGGTTATGTACAGCAGCATGGAAGATGGTGCCTTTTTCTTCTGTTCTGTCTGACTTCTGCCTGGCAGCTCCGCATGCAGGCACCCAGAATCCAGTCCACATGGGCTCAGCTCAGTGCTGGTAGTATTATTGTCCTCCTGCTCCAGTGATGGCTGTAAGGAAATGGAGATAGATGGCAGTTCTGTGAATGTTGTTTGAGGAACACAGAGCAGTTGGGAACTCAAGTGTTTGCCCTTTGAATCATTCGAGTAATGGAGTAGGTGCGTGTATGAGGACACTGGTATCACTGTGTTGCATGGAGTCTTTTGGCTTTTTAATTCTTGTGGAATTGCTTATACTTTCTCTGGACATTGTCCTTCAGTAGCAATAGAACTTTTATGACTAGTAATGAAACAGTAAAGATTGTTAAACCCAGCCTAGAGGGGATGCAGTTGCATCATCATAAATGTATTCAGAACATACTCAAACACACAGAGGGAAATGAGCTACACTGGTACTTTTGCAATGCTAGATAAATGGTTGGACTCAGTGGCCTCTAAGATGCTTTCCAGCTTAAATGTTTCTATGATTTGTGCCTAAATGCTGTATACTGAGAGCTGTGTAAAAGGCCATTGTTTCTTTCTGTAGCCTTCACGTCCCAACCACCAATGTATGTCTTGTGTACTGTACTGTATTATATATATTATAATGGGTTATTTGTATGGCCACTGGGTGTGTTGTATCAACTTCAGGCTAGATGGAACAAGAGCTGTGAACCTGCAAAGACGTGGACTGCAGGCTACACAAGCCCCCTGAGGACTGAAGATGCCATGTTGCTCTCTTTTCCTTGTTGCTCTTATAATCCGGGGGTGTGCGTGTCCCCAACATAAATAATCTCACTAGATAATGTGAGCTATTTAGCTATTTAGCCTTCAAAGGGGAAAAGAGTTCTTTGTTCCCCATCTCACAGCTCCTTTTCTCAGAAGGTCTTCTCTTAGTTACCATGGATATGCAAACTGGTGGTACAGTCTTTCTATCCTTTATTCATACACCTACTAACATCTGTACCAGTGCAGCTTTCAAATATAGACCTGACTTGTGCTGGATCTGGCTAAATCTGGAGCTGTTTTACACATTTCTTTGACGCATTGGTTTTGGCTGGTCGTTCTACCTTTTTGAGCAGATGTAGCATTTCATAACTTGTCACTGAATTTTTATCTTTCCATTCATGATGGTGACAACCAAAAATCTGATTGTGAACCACCAACATGAAGCATATAGAGCAGCTTGAGAATTTCATGAAATCTGTTTCTCAGAACCCCTCCCTTGAACATTGGGTGGTGTACAAAGTGTCAGGTTACGTGGAGACCTGGAGCAGGTGGGTCAGTTCCATACAGTTCAGCAGCAAAGGAATTTGCATTGCAAAAGAATTTATACATCTTATTCTTCAGTGGCACTCGAGCCTAATTGTGCTTGATTTTACACTAACTGTCTAATTAAGAATCTTTCTTTAGGCTTCAATGGGCATT